CCCACTGCCACAGGGCAGTGATAGATGGGATTTTGGGAATTAGGAATTCCTGGCTGTGAGGGTGGGCAGGCCCTGGCACAGGTGCCCAGAGCAGCTGTGGCTGCCCCTGGATCCCTGGCAGTGCCCAAGGCCAGGTTGGACATTGGGGCTTGGAGCAGCCTGGAATAGTGGAAGGTGTCCCTGCCTATGGCAGGAGTGGGATGGGTGGATCTTTAAGATCCCTTCCATCCCAACCATTCCCTGATTCTGTGATCCCTGTTGTTCTGCAGCATCCCCTTCCATCAAGCTCCTCGTGGACGACCCCATCGTGGTGAACCCTGGAGAAGCCATCACCTTGGTGTGTGTGACCACCGGGGGGGAGCCGGCGCCCAGCCTGACGTGGGTGAGGTCTGTGGGGGTCCTGCCCAACAAGACTGTCCTGAACGGGGGCACCCTGACCATCCCCGCCATCACCTCCGAGGATTCCGGCACCTACAGCTGCATTGCCAACAACAACGTCGGCAATCCCGCCAAGAAGTCCACCAACATCATCGTAAGAGGTGAGTTCAGTTGGAAAATCACGGACTTTTCTCCTGGAAGATTATTCCAGTTGTAATCCAGTGGGACAGCAACATTCAGTGTTCAATGTTTGGTATTCAACATTCAACGCTCAGCGTTTACTATTCAACGTTCAGCATTCATTGTTCAATGTTATACATTCAACATTCAACATTCAGCGTTCATTGTTCAATGTTCAGTGTTCAACGTTTAATGTTAAACATTCAACATTCAACATTCAGCGTTCATTGTTCAATGTTCAGTGTTCAACGTTCAGTGTTCAATGTTCAATGTTCAGCATTAAATCTTCCATGTTCAACATTTAACATTCAACGTCCAGCATTCAGTGTTAAATGTTCAACATTCAAAATTCAACATTCAATGTTCAATGTTCAACATTAAATATCTAACATTCAACATTCAATGTTAAACGTTCAACATTCAGTGTTCATTGTTCAGTGTTCAGCATTCAGTGTTCAATGTTTAATGTTCAATGTTCAACATTTAGCATTAAAGGTTCAGCGTTCAATATTCAACATTCAANTCACTGTTTAACATAGGTGATAAATATTGGGAAGTTATGGTAAATAATGTACACGTAGTTTTTAGTATAAAAAGATAACACTGCCCTGAGGGTGGGCAGTGTGCCTCTGTCTGATCTGCTGGACAGACCTCAGCAGGCCAGAGAAAGCATTTTATGGATAAGAAACAATAAACAACCTTGAGAATGAGAACAGAGGAATCCTGACTCCTTCTTCGACAGCAGGACTGGGAAAGGAGACTTGTACACATCTTGGGGTCACTGTGAGCAGCTGAAATCTTGAGAAAAAGGAGCATAAAGATGTGAGTCAGCAGAGCTGCGAAAAGCAGAGGGATTCTGGAAAAGTTCTAGAGGAGGGGGGAAAACGGAAATTCCACTGAGGAATGGGATACCCGGATTGGCTTGTGTGAATATATGGGAACATATAAACACGGAGCTCAGCTGAAAAGCCTTCATAAATGTGATTTATAGTTATATTTATTTATAGTTTTTGATTTTAAGGAATGGTTCTTCCCCCAGACGGTGCTGGCACTGCCCAGGCTCCCCAGGAAACGGGCACAGCCCCAGAGCTCCAGGAGCTGCCAGGGATGCCCAGGGTGGGATTGTTGGGGGTCTGGGCAGGGACAGGGGCTGGGCTCTGTGATCCTTGTGGATCTTTTCCACTCAGGATATTCCAATTTACAACTCTCTGATAATTTCATCCTTTATTTCTATCCTGTAACTCCCCACTCTGTCCCCTGAACCTCAGAATTTTCCATTTTTGACAGGGTGCCCAGACAAAATGATCTCGCTCTTGCCTCAACTTTAAGCCTCTTTATTTCAGGGACAGGCTCAGGGCAGACTGAAAAATAGGATTTTTATTCTTTTTAATCCCTGACAGGAGCAGTGACTGCTCAGGGACCCCAGGGGGAGGTTCAGGGACACAGACAAGGGTGGCTCTGGCCATCAAGGGACACCTGCCCTGGCTGGAGGGAGCCACCCCTTTGTCCCAGAACAGATCCAGGTATTTTACCAGCTGGAAATCTCTCCTGTGTGCCAGGGAAAACCCTAAATCCTGCCTGTGACATGGGGGTTTGGAATTAGATCATCTCTGAGGTCTCTTCCACCCCAAACCATTCCATGAGGAACCATTCCATGATGATCCTAAAGCAACTGCAGTGCTTAAAGCTGCTCTGGGAATATTTTACCTCAGTCATTCCATGTATCAAGTCAAAAAAAGGACACACACCTGAAAGATCTGGGATTTGAGAAGCTTCTCTTTATTTCTTCTTGACCTGGAAGTGCTGGAAATTTAAATGCAGTGAAAAGGAAATAGGAGAAATGAGAGAGTAAGTAAAAAAAAATATAAGATTAAGATAAATACGTTTTATTTGCCTAAACATGAATTTTTTGAACTAGAACTCTGGAATTGTTTAGCTGGAGAATTTTCTCCTCTTTTCACGTGGTGTGCAACTTCCACTGGGATCTCTCTGTAGCAGCAGCAGAGGATGAACACAGAAAAATATAAGAGAGATTTTCATCTCTTGTTCAGTTTTAGGATTCTTTTTCTTTTATTTTTCCCTGGGTTTATATTTTTTAGGGGTAATTTGAGTTTTTTGATGGCCTGATGATGAAAAGTAAGCACCTGCCCTATTGCAGGGTGGGCAACAAAATGTTGATTTTTCCTCTGTAAAANTTCCATGTTCAACATTCAATGTTAAATGTTCAACATTCAACATTCAAAATTCAACATTCAACATTAAATATCTGATATCAACGTTCAGTGTTCAACGTTCAAGGTTTAATGTTCAACGTTCAAGGTTTAATGTTCAACATTCAAGGTTTAATGTTCAACATTCAACATTCAATGCTCAACATTCCAATTTTAATGTTCAACATTCAACGTTCAATGCTCAACAGTAAATATCTAATGTTCAATGTTCAACATTCAATGTTCAGCAGTGGGGGTTTCCTCTGTTTCCAAATGGTCCTGGTTGGACTAAATCTTGAAGGTCTCTTTCAACCTTGATAATTCTCTTACTCCAGGATTTCTGAACACTTCTAATCATTTATGGGATGAATTATTGTTGGTTTCCAAGACTTCCAGAGTTCTTGTGCTGGGATCAAAGCCCTGAGGTGGAACAAGAGTGGTTTGGTGCCTTTTTGTGTTGGGGTGATGCAGCAGCTTTTCCTTGCAAAGTGGAGAGAAATTGGTTAGTTCAGCCTGGAGGACATTGACTGGAGACCTCACTGTGGTCTTCAACACCCTCCTGAGGAGCAGCTCTGATGGATGGTCCCTGTGACAGGGACAGGAGCCAGGGAATGGCTGGAGCTGGGCCAGGGCAGGCTCAGGTTGGATCTCAGGGAAAGGTTCCTCTATTCCAGAGGGTGCTGGCATTGCCCAGGCTGTCCAGGGAATGGGCACGGCCCTGAGGCTGCCAGAGCTCCAGGAGCTTTTGGACAGCACTGTCAGGGATCCCAGGGTGGGATTGTGGTGGTGGGGGAGTTTGTGCAGGGAAGGATTTGGACTCTGCGATCCTTGTGGGTCTCTCCCATCTTTGGATATTCCATGGTTCTATGAAATGATCTGCAAAGGCCTTGGATGCATCCCAGGCTCCTGGAGTTCTCATTGCCTCCTTCATCTCTTCCTTCCTCCTTGTCTGAAGCTGTTCCTGAAATTAAGGCTGGGAATGTCCTCCCTGGTGGGGAGCTTGAGATGGATCCCTGTGCTTGAATTCCAGGAAAAATCAGGAGAAGTGTTTGTCTGAGGTGAAAATGAAAGAGGAGGGCTTGCACAAAACCTGCTCCCAGCTGGAGGGAATCTTTCCCTGCTCATTTAATCCCTTCTGGAAAACCCCTGGGACACGGGCAGCTGGTTTGGATACCGAGCTGGATTGGCATCATCAGAGAGGATTCACCTCCCTGAACCAAACGCTTCAGCTGAGCTTCATTTTCCACATAAACTCCAAGCTATAGGAGTTTGAAAGAATAACCTGGGATTAATCAGACTCAGGAAAAACTGATGGATAAAGAGCCAATGTGGGAGTATTTCATGGAAACCACAACCCCTGCTCACTTATTCCCCAGCATCTCCTGCTCTCCAGCAGGATAAGGAATTGGGAGTTATTTCTGTCCTGGGGGTCAGGGAGGGAGCATTGGATCAGGAGATGGGCATGGATTTATTTGGAATTTTGCACTGGAATTTGAATTTCTGACATTTGGCTCCGAGGTTTTGTTGTCATTCCTCAGCTCCGGAATATTAATTTGCTGGGATTTACATGGGGGTGAAGCGGAGAAGGGGAATTGGGAGTGGGAAACAGCTCGGAGTAAGGAAAAGGAGAGGAAGAACTTGGTGTGAAAAGAAACCTCAATGTTTTCATTGACCCAGCAGACAGTGCCAGGCAGCCCTCAGGAAAAACCACATCCCTAAATCCCTGCAGACACAAATTCCATGAGTCATGGCATCATAATAAAAATAATAATAACAATATCCCCTCCCATTTTTATTTATAGAAGATGATGCCTGGGAGCTGCTAGATGTTAAACAAAGTCTCATTGTAACACTCCAGGTGATTTTTTTTTCCTTTTCCCTCTCTTTTCCATGGCCCTGTTAATGCTAAGAAGGGACCACAATGAGAAGAACCCGTTAAATAAATGAAGCTCAGCTCCTTCCCAGACGCAGTTTTATTATTTCACCCTTATTATTTCTGTTAAATGGGAAAAACTCTCCTTTAGATGGAAAAAATCTCCATTCCACTCTTGGGTTTATCTTTGCTGCAAGTGATGCTGAGTTGAGGAGTGAAATGTGAGAGAAAAGCAGAGTTTGGGTTGACTTTGTGTGTTTATTTCTCAGCATTTTGCCTCATTTCCCTCTCACTTCAGCTCATTTGGCTGTTGTGGGTCAGGATTTTCACACAGCAGCTGAGGAGAGAAGAGAATTTGCTGGAAATAGAAACTTCCATGCCAGGCAGGAAAAGCATTTGGTAAATGGAGTTCCCATCCTGTGCCAGGTGCACCCCGAATCCCAGGATTCAACAATAATCCCCCAGTCTGACCCAGAAATAAATCTTTCCTCAAAGCACCAGCAGGGCTCAGAGGAAAATTTTTTCCCTTTAAATTTCTCTAAATGTCAGCGTTTTTATCTGAGTGTGCCTTTGTTGTCTCTGCTCCATTCCATGAATGAAGCATCTCCATTCATTTTCTGGATGTTTTCCTGTTTCTGCACGAGGAAGAATTTGTTGCTGCTCAGAGAAACCTGAGCAAAGCACCGTGTAGGTGAAGGCAGAGAGAATCCCAAAATCATGGAATGGTTTGGGATGGACGGGGCTTAAATCCCATCCCATCCCATCCCATCCCATCCCATCCCATCCCATCCCATCCCATCCCATCCCA